TCAGTGAGTAATACATCTTCATATTATCATGCATACAGGAATTCTGCAAGCCTATCTTTGTTAGTTTGTAATTAGCAGTGACTGTTTAAAAAATATATAAGAATTGAAACTATTCTCAATGTTTTACTGATGCTGTGCACAGTAACGTCATGATGATTTAATTGAGGAAATGTCATTAGAGAGGTGTTCCTAAAAAAAAATTGAATGAAATTGCTTGATAAAATATTTATTAGTCTTACTGACATGCCATCACTACAATAGCAGTAATTGTGAATTGACAACAAACTGTATTTCGCCAACAAAAAACAATAAAAACAGTGTTTTATATATATAAAACAGCAGTGCAGTGTTTCATTTCTTTATGAATTCAATATTTAAGGGGAGGATTAGTTTTTACTCCAGTGATTGATTTTGCTCGTCATTTTTGCAGGATTATCAGAAGTGCTCCTGCCCTTTTTCACTTCCAGTTTCCACATCATCATTTGGACTCCATTTTGTCTTGTAGCAGTATTTTCACCTGTTTTTAAAATTTTAAGAATTTTTGATGCATTAATTGTTGACTGGTTTTAATTATCAATTGTTCATTAGTGTTCTGTTGCTCTGTTATATTGAATTATTGCTACTGTTTTAGCATGGTTTACAAAATAAACTTTCATTGTGAAGTTAAAGTTTCAGTTTCTTTATTTTTCTTGTATTTATTGAACAGTTAAAATAACACTTGAATTTTTGACATTTTTTTTACTCATTATAAAGTGGCACTATTAAATAAAATTAAATAACATTTAATAAAATACTATACAGTAATAATAAAAGTAACGTTAAAATACCGTAGTTCTGAAGGGTAAAAATGTACAATAAAATACTGTTTTCAGTTTTGCAGTATGTACACCACTACTGTAATTAGTGTTACAGTAAAAAACAACAACAGTAAAATGATGCCATTTAACAGTAAATGTTATACTATTGTAATTACTATAACAGTAATGTTACTGTTTTATGAAACACAGCAGCTAATGGATAATTGTTGCCAGAAACTTACTGTTAAATGAACAAGATTTTTTTTTTACAGTGTACTGAACCGAGAATAGATTAAACTGTTCCACCACTAGTATTTAAGTGTAGGCTGTAAAAATGAGTTATTTAAAACTATTTTGTTTAGAAATGTGTTGAAAAAATCTCTCCATTAAACAGAAACTGGGGGGGGGGGGGGCGATAAACAGGGAGGCTAATAATTTAGGGGGGCTAATAATTTTGACATCAGAACAGTTCTAACATTCATGGCTCTATACACCAAAACAATGGATTTGAAATGAAACAAACAATTTGTGCTTTAACTGCAGACTGTCCCCCGAGAGTGTGTGCTTTAATTTGAGGGTATTTCCAAATCAGGTGAATGCTGTATGAATTACAACAGTGTGCATATGTGCCTCCCACTTGTTCAGGATTCAAAAGTAATGGGACAGAATAATAATCATAAATCAAACTTTCCCTTTTTAATACTTGGTTACAAATCCTTTCCAGTCAGTTATAGCCTGAAGTCTGAAATGCATAGACATCACCAATCGCTGGGTTTCATCCCTGCTGATGCTCTGACAGGCCTCTACTGCAACTGTCTTCAATTCATGCTTGTTCTTGGGGCATATTCCCTATAGTTTTGTTTTCAGTTCATGCTCAATCAGATTTAAATCAGGCAATTGACTTGGATATTGTGTAACATTTTAGTTATTTCCTTTAAACAATTCTGGTTGCTTTCGCAGTATGCTTTGGTCATTCTCCATCTGCTCTGTGAAACGTCATCCAATGAGTACAGAAGCATTTAGCTAAATATGAGCAGATGATATTGCCCTATGTAAAACACTTCAGAATTCATAACAATAAATCACATTATCAATAAATACAAGAGAACCAGTTGCATTGACAGCCATACATGCCGACGTCATGACACTACAATCACCACGCTTCACTGCTTAGGATAATGAGCAGTTCTTTACCTTCTTCATACTCTTCTCTTCCTATCACTTCGGTACAAATTGATCTAGGTCTCATCTGTCCATTGGATGTTGTTCCAGAACTGTGAAGGTGGATGGCATCCACTGTCTGAACAACCTTTTCTGTGGTCTTCCGGGTGTTTCGGTGCTGCTAAGCTCACTCGTACATTCCTTCTTTTTAAGAAAGTTCCAAACAGTTGTTTTGGCCATGCCTAATATTTGTGCTATCTCTCTGATGAGTTTTTTCTGTCATCATTTTTTCAGCCTAATGATGGCTTGCTTCATTGATAGTGACAGCTTTCTGAATCTCATCTTGAGTGTTGACAGCAACAGACTCCAAATGCTAATAAAACTTGAAGTCAACTCTGGACCTTTTATCTGCTCATTATAATATATATAATGAGGGAATAACACACCTGGCCAGCTGAGGAGACAATTGTCCCAACACTTTTGGACCTTTAACAAGTGGGAGGCACATATGCAAACTGTTGTAGTTCTTACACCATTCACCTGATTTGGATGTAAATACAAAGTTTTCAGTAGTTTGGGTTGACTCAAATTTTAAAATTAACATTATTATTAATATTAATATTGAGATTTTGGTCACTCCTCTTTTAAGGTGTGTGAATAACAAATAAATAACTCATTAAATAACTCACAGATAAATAACTCTCTAAATAATTAACAATGAAATGTTGCTAATTGAATTATACCAATGTAAAGGTATTCATTTTATGAGCAAATCTGAAGGATTAGAGAGGGATTAGTGAGATGTTGCTAATTTGTAGGTGGATGGAAACGTAGCTATTGTCAATAGAAAAAGGACTGATAAGCTTATATTTACGCTCTACTTAGTGAGGTGATCAATACAACAATAGTGTTTTTTTTCACTGGATGTCTTGAATGGCTTGCAGTGGGAAAAAAGTGAATTGTCCTCATGTAGTGCAGTGATACTTAGGTTGACTGGAGAACTACAGGTCAGATGGTGAAATATGCAGATTCTTGACAGCTAGAGGAAAGAGTTTTGCTGGGCAAATTTACTTGCAGAAGTAAATTTTGGCTGTGCTGTTGTCACTTTTCTCATCAGGAAGAAACTCAGTACAACAATGTGTCCATGAGGGAAAGCTTTATTCCTTTTTGGAGGAGGGATTGCTTGACCCCGCCTCTCAAACTGAAGTGACGTGATTGGGTCATTGCTCTTCATGTATGCCATCACATTTCACAATTCCATTTTGCTGAGCTTGTTGTTTTATCCCAAAATACAGTTAAACAATAGAGTGCTTTAGGACCTTAGAAATGGTTAATTTCTTTTCAACATACATTTCAAAGTTCTTGTGATGATGTCTTGGACATGGGTAAATGCATTGTTTCTTCCTGGGCACACACAAATCCAGCACCGTCCCGTCCCCTTCTGATGGTTATTTCAGTATTCAAACATTAAATAACAAATGCATCAAGTCAAATAAAAACGAATATTTTCAATATAATTTAGCTAACTGCTGCTCTTTTTATCTTTGTATTTTTATAATTTCATTTTTGTTATTTTTAATATTTTATTGTCTTCATAATTAAAGCTATCGACAAATAACTGCTTAACACTTTCGAAAATATTTTGCGTAGCTACCCAGCTATTAAAGATCACGAGAACAAAAAAGAAAAAAAAATGTTGTTACATGGCCCCTAAATATCCAACTTATATTTAACTGAATTGTTAAAAAAAAAAGTCGTGAAAATTGTTTAATTTATTTTTATAAAACATTTGTTTTGTTTTTTTGTTGTTTTTTTTTTTGTTGTTTTTTTTGTAAAGACAATACCGAACATCTATGATGTTAAGCATGTCTTTATTCGATGCGCAACAGACAAAAAGTCATTCATCAGTGCATGTAGTCATTGGTAAAGTTCTCACCGGGATCAGAGCAAGTTTTTGTGTTACCAAATATAGCGCTGCCTGCAATAAACTCACATTCAGTCAGGCTAAGTAAAGGTCTCATTGCCTAGGATGTCAATCACATTAATCAAGCTCTAGCCATAAATAAAATAATAGGTTATTTTATTATTTTAAGACTTTAGATGGTTAGTAAGTCATTTTTATTATACATGGTTATATCGAAGTCAATGAAATAATAACTTTAATAAATAAAATATGTTCGTAAGAATGTGGTGGGCCAGTGATTCTCTGCCAAAGACTGCTGTTTAAAACCCTTTTCAAAACTGTATCGTTCACACATGTATTATTTTTTAAATATTAAATGTGGTGTAGTTCACTTGTGGATGTCTGATAACTAGTGCGCTTCCACTGAGCCAGCTGTGGTAGCTTGGCAACTGAGCCGTGACGCCAACACACAGAATCTGTGCCTAGGCCCTTTTTCTGGATTTTCTGCTCTGAATCGGGCTCAGGTGCAGTTCACTTGGCTGGCACTGGCCCGAAACTAAATATGAGACATGACTTTTAAAGGACTGTTTCTTGTGTAGTTTGCACCTTCATTCCAGACACAGAGAGCTGAGGTGAAGAGTGAGTATTAAAGATTAAATCAGCCCGTTGACAAAAGGCCTGTTGATTCTGAATCTTCTAGCCTTCAACTCTGAAAGTCCTGTTAACAAAACCAGTTTGGTGGTCATCGAATGCCTTTTGCTTATCTATGAACTGGCTCTATGGGCCAAAAGATTCCGATTGTGACGTGGAGACATCTGTGATTATATATATATATATATATATATATATATATTTTTTTTTTTTTTTTTTTACTTTTAGAGATGACATATTTAGTGTCTGTGTGAATAATTTACACTCTAAACCATAATAAACTGTTGAAGAAATTGATTTTTATAATTGGATAAAGATGTTAATCCAAAAAAAAAATTGCTTAATTTATGTTTAAATGTGTTTTAAGGCTTGCCCTACCTAAATAGTTTATTCATTAAAAAAAGAAACCAAAAAGAGTTTTCAGTGATGTCACATTTGAACTCTTTTACATAAAAAACACATCTAAGAAGGATATGAGTGTGTGTTACCTTGAACACCATTTCCATTGGTGCTGGTGCATGTAGGTGGAGGTGAAGATTGTGGTCGAATGACAGGAGCAAAAGCACTCTTTTGTTTCACAGCTGAAACCATGTTTGCCGGAGAGAAGGAGAAGATTCCAGAGGAGTTGCTGCAGTTTGAGGGTAGGCTGGTGGAGGAAGCCATGGTGGGGCTGGAGGGGACAACTGCAGGAATGCAGAAAGTGAGGCTGAGAAATGCATTTCAGATTTAATAGAAATACAAAGAAAGAAAAATAAATTAGGGAAGAAAAGACTTGGAGAAATAATTTTGGGGAGGATTTGATTAGTGCAGTTGACAACCCAGGACAATCAACATAAAATTTTAAATTCTCAAATTTAATTTAATCAGTTGAATGGAATACAAAATAGCCATTTGCAGGTTGACTCCTTAAGACAATTAAAAAACTTCTCTGTTAAAGTTTTTATCTCACATGTCTGTAATTTCAGTAGTGTACATTAGTTATTATCACTAGCAAACGTGAAACACAAATGCATGACTTTGGAATTCAAATCTATAATCAAGGCCACCAAAGCTGGGGACACTTGACATAAGGACACTGTAATTTGAATGGAATCTACAGCCATGTTAGTCTGTCTGTTTATCCTTTTCCCTTAAGTTTACACAATTGAAAATTGGTCTGTATTAAGAGCAGATGGTTGTTAGTGTTATCTTTTGGCTCGTTTACCCTGACTGGTACAGTACGGAACAGTTTGGGTCGGTACGGGTCACCTTTATCAGGCTTGGGTTTCCACCACCAAGGGTACCCTTTTGGTGGGCGTAGTGTAAGACATAAAGTTTAAGTCGACGTCATGCTCGCTCGAATAAATGTCAACAGTAAAGCTGTACAGGTAGGTCGTTTACATATCAATGAGAAGCACTTCTCACAAAACAGATGCTTTACACAAATATATATATATATATATATATATATATATATATATATATATATATATATATATATAATATGTCTGGCTATGTCTGAACACTTGTAAGTGTTCTACGCTTAGTGTTGTAATGAATATGTATGAGGCAGTGTTTATGTGTTTGGTCTTGTTGACCAAGATCTGCTACACTACTGCTACATTGCCTATTAGTGCAGAGCAAGTCATGATACTTGCTTCTGCCAGTATATTCACAGATTTGCTCCCTGGAATATAGCACATTACAGCTGCAAACATGACATACATGTCACCCCAGTAACAGGTGGTTACCTTTGTTGATGTATTAAATTGTTAACATCAACACTGAGGTTTTTAAATTTTGAAGAGCAAGCTCATTAGTTGCTTATAAGTCTGCAACCACCTGTGCCATGTAGTTGGAAGCAGATTGGATAGCACCTCACTGCAAGAATCTTAGGAAGGTCACCATTTAGTGTACTCAGTGCTGGGTTGCAGCTGCAAGAGCATCTGCTGCAAAAAACGTATTCCAAGATAATTGGCAGTTGACCCCTGTAACATTGTGGTGACCCCTGATAAGCCCTGATTCAGGTAGTATGTCAAAGCAAAAAGAGTGATGAAATAAGTTAAAACTGGGATTGCTGAACATTGCTAAAACTATGATTACATGGTCTTATATTATGCTATTGCTGGTTGATTGCTGCTGGCTGATCGATTGCTACTGCCTGCTTCTGAAGCTGTTGCCTGGCTGTTTGTAGTTCTTAGCATTTATTGCTCTGCTTGAAATACTTCTTTTAATTATTAGTCATTGTGATCAAACTCTGTTAATCAAATTATTTACTAGCAACTTAAAATTTAAGGATCGCTTCTGTGAGCACATCGTGATAGCATCGCACCTCACATGTTTTCAACATCACACAGCTTCACCGTTTCTAATCTTATAATGATTGTATACACTGTTTGAAATCTCTTTTATGAGCACAGTGTGTTAGCATTGCAGTTCAAGCCTGTTTTTAACCCGTCTTTGGTCTGTTTTGTTTTGAAAGTGCATTGCAGAGCTGGTGCTAGAAAAGCTTTTGTGGCAATAAATAAATAAATAAATAAACTACTCTGTCATGCACTTCCATGACCTGACACAGACTGCTTCACTTCCACTTTAACTGGTGCCATTAATGCTAAAACAACAACAGTGCTTCTTCTAGTTAAAAAATAATATCCTTTGTTTAGCAATTTTGTTTTTGCTTCTAAATGGTATTTAATAATTGAATCTGTGCCTGCATCTCTTTAGGTTAAAATAAACAGTAAATAATTTAACTTAAGTTAGCATTCTATGAAACATGCATTGATGATAATCGTTTGATGCCTTATGACACACTCTCTTTTTATTTCACTTGGCATCAGATCATTGCAAGTCTACCCTTTACGTGATGGCAGTGTTGAGGATCTTTCTCAACGACACTGGTTTTCTGCCCCTCAGTTTTTTGCATAGGACTTCTTCACAAAAGGAGACATTTTAAAGGAAGCTGAAAACGTTAACCATTCATTTGTGATTAGCAGAAGAAGTAGACTGAAGTTGGAAAAGAATAAAGAATGTAAAGGAGTAATGTTAACATAGTTTTCCATTTGGGCAGAACTATCCCCTTAACTATAATCTAAAAGAGATGTTTAAATTTGTTTACTGACAGGTATGTCAAAATATTTTCTTTACAGATCTAATTTTGATCGACCCCCTTACATCATGTCTTTGCAACAGATGATGTAAAAACAGATGCTGACACAGTGGTTGGACATATACTCTTGTGTCCATTTTTTTAGATATTCTCAAGATGCATCACATTGACATGGCTGTCAATGAAGTGCTCACCTTTGTACAAGGGTGAGTAATAGAATTATGGGTTAAATAGAATTATGATACACTGCATAAATGCTTGAACTGGCATGATATCAGCAAGCATGCTGATGCATATATACTTACTGTCCATATCCTTTTTTTCTAATGGCAGTAATAAAACCTTAAAATAGTCATATAAATAAGACATTTTACAAAACTGTAAAAAAAGTTATGCAAACATTTTACAACCAAACATGAATTGGCATAAAATAAAATTTGCTGAATAGTTAGTTAATCTGTCAATCATTTAGCATCATAGGTGGTTCTTGACCATCTAAAGCATTCAAAGTTCCCAGACTTCCAGTCGTCAATCTGCGTACATGAGATTATATTATAATATAATACTAGTGTATTATATTATGTATGCCTTGGACATACACTGTGTGTCCAAGTTACAAAATTATTTTATTGCAGGCGGACAGAATAAAATTAAATAATGAAAAAAATTATTCACTGAAGACCAACTTATCCGAAGTGCATATCCACCAGCCCCTATCAAGCAAGCAACAGCACCAAGAACCAAAACTCTACAAATTGATGGAAGTGAAGAACAAACCACAACAAACCATCATAGAAACGGTTCAATTAGGGCAACCAGTTCTCTTCTGGCAAAACATCATATGCAGAGCTGCAGTATGGATGTTGAAGGCTGGACCATGTAGGTAACCAGGAAGGTATTCAGACTAGCTGATAGGATCAACGCAGACTTTGTCTGTTACTGGTTCTTTCAAAATTATCTATATACGTTTGTGTTTCCGAGTGAAAAGAGATGTGTTTTTATTTTATATTTAAACTGCCACAAATGAGAATGAAGGCTGTTTCAGAGTTTATGTGCCACCATGAAAATGATCTACTGCCTACAATTAATTTGACATTCTAATAATCACAAATTGTACATAATAAAAATTGAACGTAGTGGATATGATACTTTTAAGGTAAACAAAAAATGCAATTTTACAGATGCTTGTAATGTGGCCTCCAAAAAATTGGTTATTATCAAAAATCACCTTCAATATTTGGAATAATGACAGGGACTAAGCTCAAAACTCATCAAAGGTTAGGCAGTATTCTTGCAATCTTGTAGTTGTGGCTACGGTTGGATTTGTAATTTTCCTTTTTATCATAAAATACATCCCCATTTGTTACTATTTTCCTCTTTTACAAAGAGTAAACAAACCCGTCACACATTTTTACAAATGAATCAACATAAAATGTCTTGTCTTGTGGTAGCCTGACGGAGATGGTTGCTTGACCGACAATGCAGATTATTGTTTCTGGACTGCTTTGTAATTACCACAGAGGACATGCAAGTTTAAGTAGACTATTTGCTCTAAATAAATTGTTATTAACATGTTGTGAAGAAAAAAGCTCTTTGTTAAAAACTGGAATGTTTTCTGGTAGTGTCCTAGACTTTTCCATGCTTATGGCTCAGGGGCGTAGATTTAGGGTGGACGGTGGGGACGTGTCCCCACCAATATCCACAAACTACCGAAATGTCCCCATCAATAATTTAAATCACTTAAAAACATTGCGCTGTCAGTATAAACCTAGACATGCCAAAAGGGTTAAATTCTGTTCTCTCCTCGAGTCGCACCACCCCCAAACACATATGTACATTGTGATTGGGTGTGCCTTTCCCTGCTGTCATGTGAGTGGCTGCTTTCAGATCATAGTTTCAGATACAAACAGCGCCAAAACAACTGCGCGGGGGGAATTTCCCGATGTGTGAAGTGTGTGCCTCGCTCAAGTGAGGATGGAGGTAGCAAGAAGAGGTGGATATAAAGAGCTTTTTCCAATGAAAAGCGTAAGTCACATAAACTCAAGTACGCTACGTAATGAGTCCATCATGATAATGCCGTTATGCTAGTGTTTTCACCGCTTTTACGTTCAGTCTAACGTTAAAACAGACTAACGTTAGTCTGTAAACAATATTCCCTGAAAACTAACTGCAGAATAAACACCTACATGTAAACGTATATGACCCTGCCAGTTCTCCTAATCTCTTAGAGCAACATCTCCAATTTTGGTTGAAACAATTTGACAGAAAAACTACAGCCTGTGCTCCATCTTTTAATAATACTATGAGACATGTTTAATTTGTATGAAAAATGAACGAAAGTCTTTATTAAACTCTCTCTTTATCCGTTAATAAACATTATTTTAACATGACACTTTCAGGCCTGTAGCCAGTTTATTGAAAGGGGTTATTTGTTTTCTGAAAAACTGAACCTTTTTGCAGTTATTTACCTGATTTTCTGTTTAATTGAGGTATAAATATTACATTTTAGTGACATATTAAGAACTAATTTTTGCTGGATAATCTTGTTGGATAGTTATAACAACTACACTTTTTGATTTACCAAAACTATTTCCTACAATTTTGTCAAATTGCTTTATTTACACATTTAAACTGTAGGTTTTATTACAGTTTTATAAATAATATAAATACTTTGAACTAGAAATTAGGACTTTAAATTCTTAGAATAAAGTAATGAAGTACAATATAGATGCTAAAACATCTAAATGCCATGTAAAATGAGCATTTTCTCAGCCTTGTATATTTATGTTGAGTAATTTCACTTTAAAGGCAATGAAAAGAACGTATTTGTCACTATAAAAGTAAAATCACTGAGTCCACACACAGGAGTTGGAGAAAAATGCTAATTTTAGAAGAAAATATGAAATGGCATTTAGAGGTTTTTGCATCTAAACTCTTCAAATATGTAAATATACTTATTTTTTAAATACAATTTTTTATCATAATTTTCTTTGGGAAATCTGTTAAAACTTGATTTAAATTAAAAACTGAAGCCTAAAGGCAAATAACAAACTGGCCAGCACATTTAACCTTCCTCAGTGAAAATTTGTCCATTTGAATAATAAGATAAATTCAAACATAATAATAATAATCCAACTTTTGGTCTTTCAAACCACCTGACCCCCCTTGGCTACACGCATGACTATTTAATTTAACTTAATAAATTGTGAGAAGAGAGGATTACTTAATAATACATTTTAATAGCAGGTAAATAATAAATAGCAATATATATATATATATAAATATATATATATATATATATATATATATATATATATATATATATATATATATATATATAAACAATATTCATTCTTGGCGGGGGTGACTCGTCCCCAGTCCCCACCAATGTCAAGCGCAAACCTACGGCACGCTTGTGTCTCCTCAACCAGGAGTATGGCGGCTTCGAAAGCCTTTCGTTCTGGCCAGTACCTGACTGGCATCTGCAATGCAGCTGGGTGGTCTACCCCGCATACCTTTGTAAGGTTTTATCAGTTGGACCTGGACCCTACTCCGGGTTCCAGTGTCCTAGCAATATAGGAGAACTCATACACGGCATGTAAAACTATGGCGTGTTTGGGATAGCGTTCCTATTGTGTCTCCTAAAGAGATGCAGCGTAGAGTTCCCGAAAGGGAACGCGTCAGGTTACGAATGTAACCATGGTTCCCTAAGGGAACGAGACGCTGTGTCGCGTTGCCATACTTTTTCATACCTGGTGCGCTCCGTTCGAGAGGTATAAGCTGAAGTTCACTGTGAGTGTGGGCCTTTTATACCTTCGGTCTGACGCCACACGCACGTTGCGTCCCGCCAATTACATTGGATTGATTACACCTGTGCTTCAGAAGGTTATAAGAGAGGGATGGTATCCCATTGTGTCTCCTAAAGAGACGCAGCATAGAGTTCCCGAAAGGGAACAAAACCTTAGAGTTACCTTTTCGTAAACTAAAAAATAAAGGTGAAAAATAAGCAGAAAAATAGACAGACTTTATATAAGGCTTTTATAAAGGTAAGAATACTAAACCTTTTTTTCTATCTCTTCCATTTCTAATCTGCTCTAAAAAAAACTAACCCATTACCAATCATCTGGACTATGCTGAATGTATAGGACCTATCAGCCTGCATGCACCCATAACAGTTTTGTGACAGAACTTTGTATTAAGCCCTTTGACTCAACTGTTACCACTTCAGTGTTGCTCCTTATTTTATTAATTTAATTAACACCATTTAATTCACAGACCAAAATCTGACAGAAGCAGATGAAGTCAATTTTTGTCAAAAAGACCAGAGTCATCAGGGGATTACCTGGCTCAAATGCACTTGTCTAGTTAATTGTAGAGCATGAACAATTAAGAAGTTAAGAATTCTATTACACCCAAAGACCCATGCTAACCTTCGTGGAATGAGTGTACATCAAAGACTGAAGTTTGTTTGGAAAAAAGGCATGCTAGAGCATATGAATTAGAATTATAATTTGTTGAATTTCCTGCTTGAAAATAACAGTTCCCAAAGATTGTATTTTATTTACATTTAAAATTTTTGATATAAAAAAATCTTTTTTTTTTCTGATAACACAAAATAGGATATTTTGAGGAATGCTTGTTATAATGGCATCCATTGACTTCCATAGTAGGAAAAATATTACTAGCAAATAGGGTGCTAGAAAGTACACAAGAATTTATATCAGAAGAAACACAAGAATATAACCTAAATAATTAGGTATACGTGAAGGGTGAGTAAATTATGATTTTATGAAATTTTTCCCTAAAGAAATAAAGAAGTGTGAAGTGTGTAGTGATCACTTATTGAAAACTCACTTGCGTAGGGTGAATTGGCAGCAGAGCCATTCAAGAAGTTTGGGGAGCCAGTCAGGTTGGTCATGCCACTGTTACCATAGCCATTCATGCTAGTAGATACTGTACTGTAACTGCTCTGCTGAGGGGTTGAACTGGGTACATAGCCATGTGGTGATACACTACTTGTGTTACGACCGAAACCTTCAAGATAAAGAATACTTTAAATTAGTGTGGCATAATTTGGCTTTACTCCACTTAACAATTTCTTTACAGCATACTTGTTCAAGTATATATGAGTGTATGAGGAGGAAAAGCAAACAAGAAAAAACATGTCTCACCCTGGTTTCCACCTTGAGATGATTCTGAGACATTCACGGCAAGCTGCCCAGTAAAGGAATTACCTCCCATCATGCTTGTATGGACAGAGCTGTTAGTGAGACCAGTGAGCTGGTTGTGGCTTCGTGGCACATTATACAGGGCCTCAGCAATGTCTGCCGCTCTTTTAAGAATGATTTCCTTAGGAAAGAAATTATCTTTTTAAATGTATCTATCATCTTTAAACGTAACACAGCATATGTGGGTGTTTTCAAACTATGACCATAGTCTGATTTTTTTAAAAAAGTCTGTCTGTCTATCTATGTATATAAACCATATGACATACAGTATTGTTGATAGGAGCTACTTTGTCGAATACTTGTTGTGAGTCAAAATACAGTTACAAACCTTTATAAATGATGAACCAGGTGAGAACCAATAAGCATTTGATTTCACTGACATGATAAGTAACCATTTGAAATTGTTTGCAATAAAAATAAATAAATAAATAAATGAAAATTGATAAAACATCAAAATGACACACTGAAATTATGTCCCTATTTACATTTTAATGTCTATTCAAACATAAGTAAATGTACGTTTGATATTATGATGCAGTTTCTTAACATTTCCATGTGGAAAATTTGAATCCTGTTTTCACTTTAATTAAGGCCATCAATGATCTATCACTTTGCTTATTTTGTAACACCACAGAATCTGACATTCTTTATAGCAAGCAAAAAAAAAAAAAAAAACACAAATTTCTCTTCACTATTTCCAAGAAAACTGTTTTAATAAACTGGAAAACTAAAATTTGCATTCATATTAACCATTGGACCAATCTCCTTATAGAATTAGAAAAAATACATTAACACATAAAAATATATCCATCTTTACCAACACTTGGATCCCATTTCTTCAATATCTTAATATATTTCAATCACCCTGAGCCCATGGATTCTTTTACACACAAGCTTGCTTTTTTTCATTAATACCATGTCTTTTCTTTCTTTATTGTAATTTTCTGTTTAACGAAGATAATATATTTTTTAACAAATCACTAAACAATGGTTTTACCAACTAATTTCTAATGACTGATTTATTTTATCTTTGCCATGAAGACATAACATGTTGGTAAATACTTTTTAAGATAACAGTATTCAGCTTAAAGTGACATTTAAAGGCTTAGCTAGGTTAATTAGGTGGCCTAGGTAGGTTAGGGTAATTAGACAAGTCATTGTATTATGATGATTTTTCTGTAGACTATCGAATAAAATATTGCTTAAAGGGGCTAATAATATTAACCTTAAAATGTTTTTTTAAATAAAAACTGCTTTTATTCTAGCCAAAATAAAAAAATAAGACTTTCTTCAGAAGAAAATATGATATAGGATATACTGTAAAAATGTCCTCTATCAGGTTAGATAATTTACTTAGTTCTCGAAGACAACATCGTTCTGTTTCCCCTTATCCTGTAACCCTTAAGAACTCTGCAACTCCATGCCCTATTGAGCCCATGCAACTGGGTAGAAACCAGTTATCAAGAGAAGAACGAGAGAGAAGACTAAAGAATAACTTATGCCTGTATTGCGGTCTTTTGGGTCATACCAAGTTCCAGTGTCCCCACAAACCACCCTCCAAGACATTATCAGTGAGTGCTACCTCGGTGTTTTCCAAACCTAGTCACACCTTGAATATACCCGTCTGTCTGAATTATGGAGAGGTAACGATTCATACGCTAGCTATGGTCGATTCAGGAGCTGCAGGCAATTTCATGGATTATACATTTGCCAGCAACAACTCCATTCCATTAATCTCTTGTGATTCCCCCATAGCAATCACTGCGATAGACGGACGCAATCTAGGGGATGGAAACGTAACCTACCGCACTCTACAACTCTCTGTTCAAACAGGCTCTCTCCATGAAGAAAAATTATTGTTTCTGCACATGACCCTTAAATATCCTGGAAAACTGGTGAGATTATCAAGTGGAGTAAATATTGCTTGGAAAAATGCTTGCAATCTGTTGTTCCTGTCCAGATCAACACTATTATTACCTGTCCTGAAGATCCTGAGATGAGTCAAGGCCCCGAAGTATACAGAGACCTTTCCGAAGCATTTAACAAGAAAAAAACAATAAACTTCCTCCTCATTGTGAGTACGATTGCGCCATTGAATTATTACCTGGTACAACGCCCCCTCGTGGGAGAATCTTTCCTCTTTCCCAGACTGAGACTGAAACTATGAATGCTTACATCAAGGAGGAATTGGAAAAAGGATTTATCCATCTGTCGACGTCACCCACTTCAGCTGGCTTTTTCTTCCTTGAAAAGAAAGATAGAAGCTTACGCCCTTGCATCGACTACAGAGGTTTGAATGAGATTACTGTTAAGTACCACTATCCCCTGCCATTAGTCGCTGCAGCCCTTGAACAGTTACGCTTAGCCCAGTATTTCACTAAGTTAGATCTTCGCAGCGCTTATAGTCTCATTCGAATCAAACAAGGAGATGAATGGAAGACCGGGTTCTCTACTGTAAATGGCCACTATGAATATCTGATTATGCCCTTCGGCCAAGCAAACAGTCCTTCCGTCTTCCAGGCTTTCATTAACGAAGTGTTCAGAGACATGTTGAACCAATGGGTCATTGTCTACATCGACGACATCCTGATTTACTCAAACTCCTTACAAGAGCATGTTAACCACGTCAGAGTGGTCTTAAAACATCTAATTAACCACCAGTTATATGCCAAGTTATCTAAATGTGTGTTTCATCAGACCTGTATTTCATTCCTAGGCTACATAATCAGTTCTGAGGGCGTGGCAATGGACCAGAAGAAGGTTGACACCGTCACTAACTGGCCCAAACCCGACACCATCAGACAACTACAACGTTTTCTTGGCTTTGCGAATTTCTAACACAGATTCATTCAAAATTTCAGTACTGTAGCCACTCCCCTCACCGCCATGGTCAAAGCAGGCAATGCCCGACTGAGTTGGTGCGAAGACGCAACACGGTCCTTCAATCATCTAAAGTCTCGCTTCTCCTCAGCACCAATCCTTTGTTACCCTGACCCCAATCTGCCTTTCACTCTCGAGATCGATGCCTCTAACACAGGCATCGGAGCCGTACTTTCCCAAAAATTTAAGGTGTACAACAAACTCCATCCCTGTGCTTTTTACTCACGTAAACTCAATCCTGCTGAGAGGAACTATGATGTAGGAAACCGTGAGCTCCTAGCCATGAAGTGTGCTATGGAGGAGTGGAGACACTGGCTAGAGGGAGCCAGACACCCATTTACAGTTATCACAGATCATAAGAACCTAGAATACATCCGATCGGCCAAGAGACTAAACCTCAGACAAGCACGGTGGGCATTATTCTTTACTCGATTCGATTTCATTGTCACTTATATCCCTGGTTCCAAGAACATTAAGGCTGACGCCCTTTCCCGCTTAACGGATGAAGAGGCATTGGTTGAAGATGTCCAGTCTGTCCTAAAGGACTCCCTGATTTTAGCCCCCATTCGGGGGGACATTGATACCGAAATAATTCAAGCCTCGTCTCAAAATCCCACACCTCCGGCTTGCCCTGACAATAAGTTCTTCGTTCCCCCGTCCCTAAAAAAGAGAAACTCATTACTGAGGTCCATACCAATCCCAGTTCCGGGCACCTAGGAAGTACTGCCACACTTGAGTTGATTCAGAACCGATACTGGTGGTCCTCCATAAATAAGGATGTGATCAAGGTGGTCAAGAATTGTTCCTTGTGCCAGATGAACAAACACTCCCGTCTTCATCCCGCTGGTCTGCTGCAACCCCTAGAGATCCCACGTCATCCCTGGTCCCATATCGCCATAGACTTTATCACCGATCTTCCCTTGTCCCAAGGCCATACCACCATACTTACCGTCATTGACAGATTTTCCAAATCCTGTAGACTAATCGCCATCCCCAAGTTACCCACAGCCCTGGAAACAGCTGAATTGCTGTGCGAGTATGTTTTCCGCTTCTATGGCTTACCAGAGGACATTGTGTCAGACAGAGGCCCCCAATTTACCTCCCGCTTATGGTCAGCTTTTATCAAGAACCTCCAGGTCAATGTCAGTCTCTCTTCCGGTTACCATCTCCAATCCAACGGCCAAACTGAACGTCTCAATCAGGAGATTGGACGTTTCCTATGTACGTATTGCCATAACAACCAGGAAGAATGGAGTAAATTTCTAATGTGGACTGAATATGCACAGAATTCTTTGAGAAAACCATCCACTGGTCTAACCCCCTTTCAGTGCGTACTAGGCTTTGAACCCTCCTGTTTCCATGGTGTCGAGAACCCTCAGAACTCCCAGCCGTAGACTTGTGGTTTAAGAAGTGCGAGGAGGTCTGAAATGCGGCACATAGTCACCTGTCCCACGCTGTCAGACACTTCAAGGAACAAGCAGACCGTCATCGGTGGCCTAGTCCTACATACTCTCCAGGCCAATGGGTTTGGCTATCCACCCGAGATCTCCGCCTTAGACTTCCCTGTCGAAAACTTAGTCCTTTCCAAATTAAACGCCAGATTTCTCCAGTGTCCTACCGCTTAATCCTGCCTAACCATTATCGTATCTCTCCCACGTTCCATGTCTCCCTGCTCAAGCCTGCTGTTGGTCCAGCCGAGGTGGATAGGGAGGTGGCAGCCGGTCCCCCGCCAGTCATTGTCGATGGAAAGGAGGCTTACCAGATCCACGAGATCCTGAGATCCAGACTCCGGGGGGGACAACTGCAGTACCTGATTGATTGGGAGGGGTACGACCCGGAGGAACAATCTTGGATCAACCGAAAGCATATTCTCGACCCAACTCTGTTAAGTGAGTTTCACCTGCAACATCCGGAAATGCCGGCCCCTCGTCCCCGTGGAAGACCCCGGCATCGCAATTCCTCTCACTTCAGGAGCCGTTCGCAGGAGGGGGGCTCTGTCACCGACTTTGTCCCAGTCATTCCCCTCGCTGGCCAGCAGAAGCCACCATCTCCGGACTTCTAAGAATTACATGATCGACTTAAACTGATAAGCACACACACCTGCAGCACATCCCGATAACGACCCACGCTCACACATATAAGCAGCACACACACTCAGTCCGTTGCGAAGTCTTGTTCTGCCCTGTCTGACATTATTGAGCGTTATCTCCTGGCCTGATCTCCCGTGTATTACCTGGACTGTTACTGCCCTTGTGTTGCCTTCTGCCTGCCCCGAACCTTGCTTGTATTCTGACTCTGATCCACGCCGCCTGCAACTGATCCATGCCTTCTATATTACTCCTTGACAGCCAGCCGCCAGCCCTTAGACCCATACTGAATACTACTGGTGTGAGTTTGCACGTAAGTGCGTATTGTATGATTGTGTTTGAACTGTGTTTAATAAATATACTGCAAATGGATCCCTCCGTGTCCGGCTCCCCGTTACAAACACCTTTTTGGAAAAAAAAAAAATAAATAAAAAATTCAAAGGGTGCTAATATTTCTGATTCCAAGCAATCTCAGCTTTTGTTTTGTACTTTTTTTTGTAGCACAATCGCTTCACAGCCTGAAGCTCGCTGATTCGAGCCCTGGATGGGTCAGTTGACATTTCTTTGAAGAGTTTGTATATTCACCCAGTGTTGACTTGGGTTTCCTCCAGGTGCTCCATTTTCCCGGAAAAAGTCCAAAAACATGTGGTACACGTGAATTCATTCATTCATTCTATCTTCATATTAGTCCCTTTATTAATCTGGGGTCGCCACAGCGGATTAAACCGCCAACTTTTCCAGCATAAGTTTTACGCAGCGGATGCCCTTCCAGCTGCAACCCATCTCTGGGAAACATCCATACACACTCATTTACACTCATACACTACGGACAATTTAGCCTACCCAATTCACCTGTACCGCATGTCTTTGGACTGTGGGGAAACCGGAGCACCTGGAGGAAACCCACGCGAGCATGGGGAGAACATGCATATTCCATACAAAAACGCCAACTGACACAGCTGAGGCTCAAACTAGCGACCTTCTTACTGTGAGGTGATAGCACTCCCTACTGCGCCACAACGTCGCCAGTATAGGTGAATTGTATAAGCTAATTTTCCATAGTGTGTGTGTGAATGAGTGTGTATTAGAGATGCGCGAATGGCGGTTACAGCCGCGGAATCCGCGGATAAACCGCGGATCGGGCGGATGACGTGACGAAAAATAAAATTTGAATTAAATTCGGGCGGGTGGTGGGCGGTTGTACTGTTTTTGTACACATAGCTGGCGCACCAACGAAAAAGCCTAGGACTGACTTTACAGAATGAGAGGAGGAATCAGATACACTAATTCTGGATGAAGTACAGAAGTATTCCTTTACAAACTTCCGTATAGACGGAACAGCAGAGGAAAATCTACTTTCCTTTTAGGAGAAACAAGGCCAGTCCTTCCCACGACTACAGCTCCTTGCCAAGAGAATTCTATGCATTCCAGCAACAAGTGCTGCGAGCGAGCGCTCCTTCAGCGCAGCAGGGCGCATTGAGGCCAGGCGCTCTCGTCTGAATGTTGAAATGATGTGTCAAAATGCGTTTTCTATTAGGCTACAATAATTGTAAAAAAAAAATTGTACAGTACAATGCGTTTAATTTAGGCTATTTATTTATTTTTCTCCCTGTGCACCAATTGGAGACGGAGTTCACTGCTGATATTCTGAGAGCTTTATAGGGGTGCTTCTCATTTCTTATTTGTGTATCCTCGTTTCCTTTCCTTGCTTTCTTTCCTCGTCTTTCCACCCCTATAGGATGCGAGGGAAGGACGCAAGAAAAAGACTCAAGGACCGAGGAATTGAATCAAGTGAAACGACACGTCCTCGTATTGTTTAGCGTCACTTCAAAGCATCAATTAATGCTGCATTGACTTGCACGTTTGAATTAACTGCATGTCATTAAAGTCATTCTCTATTTTCTAATAATCAATAAAGAAACATTCATTTAATAATAAAAAGGAATAAGCCATTCAAATAAAGAGCTCAGTCAGCAGATGGCGGGCGGGTGCGGTTTTAAAATTTGGACGAAAATGTTAGTGCGGATGGATGGCGGACGGATGATGAGTTTTGTGATGCGGTTGCGGATGAAATAATAACCCATCCGCGCATCTCTAGTGTGTATGGATGTTTTCCAGTGATAGGTTGCAGCTGGAAGGGCATCCGCTAAGTAAAACACCTACTGGAAAAGTTGGTGGTTGATTTTGCTGTGGGAAGCCCAGAATTATAAAGGGACTAAGCCGAAAAAAGTGAATGAATGAATGAATAAACCTGCTCTGTGTACTTTGTTTTTATTGAAAAGTAATAAAAAATAAAGAAATAAAACTATCAATAAAACCATCAATAAATATTAATTAATTAATTAATTAATAAAGGTTGATAATCTCACCTGAATAATGACTTACTACAAGTATTAATAAGGCAACAACAGGCTTTAACCATATAACACCATTCTTTTATTTAACAGACTGAATTTAATTTAACATTGCAGACTAATTCTTTATTATACAATCATGATTTACTAACTAATACTTATAAATCAAGTATAATTTGTTAAAAACGTGTATTGAAAATTGAAATGCTAATAAGTGTAACACTATTATAAATGTAGCTGTAACTGTCCTTATAATACAGCATAATGATTGTTGTGGCTTTAAAGATATATTTATAGCATAGTTTTGACTGATTATAAATAATTATAAATTCATTATAAGCACAAACTTCTTAGAAAGTGTTACCCAAAAGTCTGTCTAATCATTAAGCATGACCTAACCCTTAGCTGGTAACAGAGAACTGAGGAGTAAAGTAGACATGCAGATGAGGAGGGCTAGTGCCAAGTTCACACTATGAATTTCAAAATTGTCAGATCTTCATTGTTTTCGCACAACATGACTATCTGGGGGAGCATTTAGTTGCTGCTGTGTTCACACTGCATGATGGACCAGTGACAAAAGCTTACAAACTGCATTACTACTGTCTGGCTCACAAACACGTGAGAAGGGATACGCAAATACCGATAATATGATACACTGCATAAATAAATAAATAAATAAATAGTAGTAATTCAAGTGGTCTGTAAGCTGATTTTCAGTAAAAGGGCAAAAAGAGAAAAATATATATTAATGATCAATGATTATATGGTTGGAGAATGCAAGCAGCAGTGACTGAGCATTTACAATGAGAGAAGAAACAAGTTGGAATCAATAATTAAATTTGCAATTAGCTGCTGCATAAAAATGTTTCTTCTCTGTTTCTGTTTAATTGCATTGCAATGCTTATTTATTTTGAGTTTGTGGTCTTAACTCCTCCCCAAACTCGCCACTGTCCTGCATGGAGTGAAAGTTCACTCATTGGCTGAAGGTCATTCTCAGATGTTTTCAGTCAGAACTAATTTCACACAGGATGATTTTGTCAGTAATTCTCTTAGATTGTGTCTTTGACAACTCATGTTGTATTAACGTGAACAAAAATTATTTACCTTTTATTTGTTAGCATATAAAAATCAAGCCTAAAATCATGCAGTGTGAACTCAACTTAAATTTAAGCTTAGGGCTTATGGGACTGAGACAAAAGTGGGCACCTGTACGATCCTTTATTATCTTGGTAGATCCTCTTGTGAATTATCTTTTATGTACTTGTTTTGAGGGTTTAATATTTGAGTCAATTACTTACATAGATTTTGTATAATGTGTCAAAGCAGTGAACACAGATGGAGTTCTGTTAAATTGAAACTGCTTCAGTTTAGTTATCACAGTTGAAGTTCAGTTTACTTCAGTTCAGAGTGATGCAAATTTTACTGATGAAAACACTGCCAAAACACTGAACACTGAAGAGCAACTTCGCCAATGAGCAGCTCCAGAAGAAAATGAAGGAAAATGAAGGGCTTCTCTGGCCAAATGTTTTGTTCAGTGCTGCCAGTCTTAGTAGGTTACCAGCATGTGTTTAGGCTAGCCTACTGGATCAATAAGGAGACTCATCTGTCTAATCTGTACCTTTTCTTCAATATTCTGTAATGTGTTTTTTTCTGTGTACAAAATTTAATTTTGTTCCACAGTCATATCAGAATTATTTCCTAATCGTGAAAATGTTCTTTAATTAAATGTAAGATGTACAAACGCTTGAAACATTTTTCCTGATTTTGAATCTTCCATCCTGATTTTCTAGTATTGTCCATTTTCTCTATAAAGCTGCTTTGAAACAAACTACATTATATAAAGTGTTACAGAAAAAAATGGTTTGACTTGACTGTCTAGATGTGAAGGTAAAACAAAACAAGACAAAAACAAAGTAATCACACTTTTCTATCTCATATATGATAATGATATAAGCACACCACACATGTCTAGTAATGGTAATATAAATCTTAACATAAAATGTGCACTGCAGGAAATTAATAGTAATAATATTAGTCACCAACAGGTTGAAAAATACCTTTAAGAGTGTTTCTTTAGGTCTCAGGGCCAAACAATGAGAGAAACAACCATACATTTTTTCACAATGTGTTAGCGAAAAAACTGAGAAACAAAACTTTTCCTCACCTGGTTATTATGAGGCATCCCATAAAGCGATTCCACCAGATCTGCTGCTCTTTTCAAAATCACCTCCTATATGCAAAAAAAAGAAAGTATAGTAAAATTATTTTAATGACATCAGTAATCACAGCCAAGTGGAACACACAGACTAGATGTCTGTCCAATAGATTGTCTCTGTCAGGGTAAAAAAGGCAATATTTCAGCAAACATTTGCTTTGTGTTGATGAAGGACAATAATCTACAGTGTTTTTGTAGTGCAACTACAACTTTACAGAGTCAACACTTTTTAAGAGATGCTGTGATGGTGGTACATCAAAGATTAAATTTATGTGTTCTTGCCAATGAGAAATAATTAGCATGCTCTTTTCTGAGCAAAAATACTATGTTATGATTGTTTAAAGGCAATGCTGACATGTAGGCAGCTAGAGGCTACTGCTAAAGGTAGAGTTAATGAATAGATGTGATCCTAAGTCAACCCAGTAGCTACTTGAACATCTCTCCTCTTCGATACATTATACATTATATACAGTTAAAGTCAGAATTATTAGCCCCCCTGAATTATTAGCCACCTGTTTTTTTCCCCCAATTTCTGTTTAAGAGAGAGATTTTTTCAACACATTTCTAAACATAATAGTTTTAATAATTCATTTCTACTAATTGATTTATTTTATCTTTGCCATGATGACAGTAAATAACATTTGACTATATATATTTTCAAGACACTTCTATACAGCTTAAAATGACATTTAAAGGCTTAACTATGTTGATTAGGTTAACTAGGCTGATTAGGGTAATTAGGCAAGTCATTGTAAGTAGACTATCAAAAAATATAGCTTAAAGGGGCTAATAATATTGTCCTTAAAATTGTGTTAAAAAAAATTTAAAACTGCTTTTTTTTCTAGCTGAAATAAAACTAATTTCTGGACTTTTTCCAGAAAAAAAAAGTATTAGATATAATGTGAAATATCATTGCTCTGTTAAACATAATGTGCGAAATATTTAATAAAAAGAAAACAGAATTCAAGGGGGGGGGGGGCTAAATAATCTTACGTCAAAAGAAAAAACAAGATTATTTTGCTTACCCCATTGGCAGATTATTTTGCTTGTTTTAAGGAAAAACTCACTTATTATTGGCATATTATTTCTCAAAACAAGACAGTATGTTTTGCTTGTCTAGAAAATGCCTCTTGATATAAGAAATTTTAGATATTTAGACTAGAAACAAGACAAAAAATCTAAGCAAGAAAAGCATTTTTTGCAGTGCATGATTAATGGGCGTGGAGCTCCGCGAGCATCGGGCAGGAGTGGGCATGGCCAGCAGGGGAAAAGGGGAGCGAATAACTGTTGTTGACAGTTAGCTCACAAACTGAGACACAAACCGTGAGGAGACGCATGAGTTTATAGTTCACAAAGTTAAAATGCAAAGAAATAAACAGTAATTTAATGCCCTGTTACATTTGTTATTTGTAATTTCATATACACATAAACACAATTTATATCATTATAAAGATAAGTGTGTTCATGTAAACATTATAAATGAGGATTCTCCCTCGATCCCCGTGTCTAAATTATAGATCTTGAATGCAGACTCAGTGCAGCAGGTCTCCTGACGTGCCTATTTTAACCATTAGCCCTGCTGGTAATATAGAGGCAAACACAGCAGCACGTCGATGTGTCTGAATGTGAACGAACCCACAAAAATGCTTGCAGCACACACACAGCTTTGCTGTATGATCGGCCCTGACAGGATTCGCGGCGAAAAAACATGCAACAAGCCCCGTGGATCATGGAAACAAACACATACGAGCCTTCATGAACGGCAACGTGCCGTTGGTCTGTGTCTCACAGCTTGCTTGAAACTGGCAGGTCTGCCTTCGGAAAGCACGTTCTCTCATGAATAATTAAGCAGCCGGCTCTTCTCATAGGATAAGAAAACTCCGCTATGAATAATAATGAGAAACCGACGCGTCATCATTGCACTTGCAGTACTGCGCTACGTCGCCGATTTTGATCCCGCCCCAAAAATCATTTTAAACCCGGAAGCTGAAATTAGCTGACAAAAGCTCAAAATTAACCAGTTTTCCCCACAATTAAAGCTGACAGGTGCTAACATTGTCTTAACTGAAGCTCAACACAGACAAATCTGTTAATATAAAAAAAAAAGTTTTCCAGGGTGTCCTAAACCTTTAAATGTAACATTGAACAAACCATAAGTGTTAATTTCAATAAGTGGCCAAACAAATAAGCCTATAGATTAAATACAACTAATAAATAAAATGTAGGATAACCACATACCTAGACACTCAAAAAACTTTAAAATAGATTTTGAAATCTAAATTCTCTAAAAGATTGTTAGGCTGCGTTAATTAAGGCAACTGGAACCAGGGAGACTTGCAAAAAGACATTATAATTTGATTGAAATCTACATTTATTATAGTATGTTCTCCTTAGATCCCAAGATCTCCATAATCATTGACCCAGTCTGTATTTTAAGCACATGTTGTAGTGGTCACGGAGGAGTGGAGAGTGCTAGACAGATTCTGGAAAGACCCGGGTATCAGACTAGTGAGTCTGTGACTCAATTATTGGCGTGGGGCAGTAATAAAGTCTGCCCGGCATAAACTTTTACCACTGACCTGTCTGGAGGTACTGCTGGATTGCTGATGTCACTATGATGGATCACCTCTGGTTGCCATGCTCCCCTAAAGACCCTCCAACTTAAAAGTTCAGGATATTTTAACATATTGTATTTAAAAAAATCTAACCCAATGTTTGCTGACACCTCACCCGGGGCCTTATGTACGAAGATTTGCATTGAAATCATACTAAAACTTTGTGTACGCACAAAGCTGTAAATGTGCATATGCAGTAAAAGATTCTGGTGTATGAAACACTGTGTATGCGGAATCCCACACATATTCTCTTTGTACATCCAAATTAAAGTGAAACTAAGCACACATGCACGAGTGCAAAACCCCTAACTGCCTCCTCCCCCGTATGAATATGCTAATGACTCTACCTTGGCAAAACCAAACAAAAAAGCAATAGCAAAAGCAAGCAAAAAGAGAAACTTTGAACAGAATGTGAATTGGAGGTGCGGCTATCAGAGGTTGACCAGCAAAAAACTGTGTTATTTGCAAGTTTGTCGTTTGAATGAGCTAGTTGAGTGATTTCTGCCCGTTTGATCGGCAGAGACAACAAAGCTAAAGAGGGAGGACATCGGCAGCGTGAGTGGCGTAGCTCTTAAAGCACATGGCAACATGTTTTGACACTGTCATTCATGAACTCAGTTCGAATCCACCGTCTGATGAACGTTCGAGGTTACAGAAGTAACCCTTCGTTCCCCGAGGAGGGGAACGGAAGTGCCATAAAGTGGATTGATTGAAATCCACGAATGGGAGATTCGGATCAGAAGCTGCTTGTCTGGAGAGTATTGAACGGGCCAATAAATGAAAATGAATTGGCAGCGTAAGCTTGCGCAGGTCTGCTGCATCGCCAATTATCCCAGCATATAAGCACACCTGAAGCGAGCAGACGCCATCCTTTTAAGCTGAAGAGACTTTCAAACAGCTAAGGGACAGTCATTATGGCGACAGAGTATGGCACTTCCGTTCCCCTCCTCGGGGAACGAAGGGTTACTTCTGTAACCTCGAACGTTCCCCTTCGGTTGGGGAACTTCAGTGCCATAAAGTGGATTGATTGAAATCCACGAATGGGAGAAGTATGGAAAGCGCCATAATAACTGCACCTTACCAACGCCCCCGATGAAGGGATAGTCAAGCAAGCGTGACGCACCCACATCATGGGAGGCGCGGTCCTCCAACGTGTCCCTGGCCCTAATTTATCCTACTTCAACAGAAGTCTTACGGATTTAGATATATTTTTTAGGAAGTCGTGAGCATCTAGATAATTCTAGGAATATACAACAGTACGTTGGGAAGCGTGCAATCCCGATAGGGAGGACGCTGCGGAGACCATCCGTTACCCAAGGGGGGATAGATGGCAGGATTACATATGGACTAGCCCTAAAAAGGGGGAGTACGCATAGCAAAAGAGTGGTTAGCGGAGAGGGAAGACACGGGTCCGCCCAGGGGGGGGGACTTAACTGTGGCGGAATAAGCATATGGGATCGCCTAGTGGGGATCACGCATAGCAGGCACCTATACCCAAAACACGGGCTGACTAGCGGGCAGACCTACAACGTAGTGGGCCAGCAAGTGACTCCTCCGCTGAGTCAGTGCCGGGGGCCATGGAGGAATCTGCAGGGCTCACCTGACGGGGAACTTTACTGACAGATAAAAGGGCGCACGTATCTCCGTGTTAGGGAAAATGGCGCAGCAAGCGTGTCTCAACACCCTAGCGAGTTGTTTCCTCAATCACCAAAGGGTTACCTAATACCCTTGAGGAAACCGGCTCCACTCGCAGATTGTCTCCACTCTACAGATGTCTGTTAGAGAGGCGCCGCGTGCACGCCCCCAAGAGGATTTAACGCTCCGAGTGGAGTGTGCACGCACTCCCGGGGGACACGGCTGACCTCGACTCGAATAAGCGAGTGAAATGGCATCCACAATCCAGTGGGATAATCTTTGTTTCGATACGGCACTTCCCTGCTGCCGACCGCCATGACGGACAAAGAGCTGCTCAGATGATCTAAAATTCTGAGTACGGTCCACATAAATGCGCAGAGCGCGAACTGGACAAAGTAAAGAAAGGGCTGGGTCTGCCTCCTCCGGGGGCAGCACTTGCAGGTTCACTACCTGATCTCTAAAGGGGGTGGTAGGAACCTTGGGCACATAACCCGGGCGGGGTCTCAGGATGACGTGAGAGTAATCCGGCCCGAATTCCAGGCACGAGTCACTGACCGAAAATGCCTCCAGGTCCCCGACCCTCTTGATGGAGGCCAACGCAACCAGCAGAGCTGTCTTCAGGGACAGAAATCTTAGAGATACTGATTCGAGAGGCTCAAAGGGATCGGCTCGCAAACTTGTGAGAACGAGGGGGTGTCCCAAGAGGGCATGAGAGGGGGGCGAGATGGATTAATTCCTAAGTCTTCCTCGCGTCTAAGGACCACA